GTAAATGGTTTCCTGTGCTACACTTGGCAGTCTATGTATCTCTTGATATGTATATACAATAATTATAATCTCATGGATATATGTCTCTGCATGAACAACTTGAAGTTGAGGTGTTGAATCTTATGTTTGCCGACAAAAAAAAAGGTAAAATGAATGGAAAAAAGGGAGGGGTTGACTCTTTTGCAAACTAAAAGTCAGGGTTTTGAATTGAGGTGCTGAGGAACGGTTAAAAATGAGAAGTCGGCCCTTTTGTGGATTTAGAATCTTGGGCCTTAGAAGATCCAATCCAGTTTTTCCTGGGCTGATTCAGATGGTTAACTGATTTGTCGTGGATCAATTTCGGTTGTGATAAGTATTGTTTTTTGTCCTTAATATTTAGAGTTAGTGAGTTACTTTCAATTTATCCTCAACCTTAAGACTTTTTCTTTTTTCCTTTTTACTTTCTTTTTTTTGGTAAATAAGAGAAATATATAGATTAGCTAATGGGCAGCAACAAAGCTAAAACACAGTTCCGATAGAGTCCGAATACAACATAAAAAGAGAGCTCCAGAGGGCTCTCATCCAAAGAAGCAAAGTCAATAGGAGAGGAAATTCCAAACCTTTGCCAAAAAATCTGTTGCCTCATTTGTCTCACTATAGATATGGCCAATCATACAGTCAGCAAACGTCTTTATTAGGGACCTGCAATTAGCAATCAATGAACCACATAAGTGTCAATCCGAATTAGCAGAATCGATGGGAAATTTTTGCAGCCTTGGAATCAATTTCAAGAATAAAGACTAGTGATTCCCTGTTGCCTGTTGGTTGCAATTTTCAGTCCACATCTAGACTTTGTCAGCCACTCAGCCTCGTAGGATATATAGTAAGTTCCATAACCATCTTCAAATCATCTCAACGTTAATTAGTTAGTCAGTAAATTAATTTGAAATACTTTGCATTCACATACACCAAAACAATTATTAAAGCTATTTAACTTAAGTTCCAAAAAAAAAAAAAAAAAAAAATATTAAAGCTAATGTTGTTACCTCCGTCCACTGTTTTTTTTTTTTTTTTTTTTGTTAAATGTCATTTTTGGTCTTCAAACTTTTAATTTTAATATTTTGGTTTATCTAACTTATGCTATTTAAAAGTGCAATAAATACACCTTTTTATAATTAATTTACATAAACACTAGTGCTATATGAATAATTTTAATTAATTAATTGATTAAATTAAAATCAATATTTGTATTTTTTGTGCAAATTAATTACAATAATACAGAATAAATGCATCCTTAACGTGTGTCTTCAGAGTACAGGAGAGAAAACCCTTAATATTTTTAGTAGCTAAACTATTTTTTTACACTTTTTTCATTCCTAAGCTATAAAAATGTACTTTTTAATCATTTCATTAGTTTAATATATTAAGTCTATCTATATATACACATTTTTAGTTTCTGAATTTATAAGATATGTAGTTCAAGAATTAGAAATGTGAATATATGAATAGTCTTAATGGACTAATAGATGGAAGTACTAAAAAGTGTATTTTGCATAGTTTAGAGGCAAAAATATACAAAAAATAGTTTAAGAACTAAATGTATAAAATTAAAAATTTAGGGACTAAAAATGACCTTTAAGTAAACCCATGAAGTTTTAGAGATTTTGAAATGTTTGAGGGTTATAGCTGGGTGTGGTTATTATCATTATAAAAAATATTAAAATCTCCTTTTTTTAAATTTTTTTCTTAAACAATATCTGAAAAATATCAATTTGTTAATTGATTTTAATTTGTTAATGAATAAATATCAACTATTTTATCCATTATTAGTTAATAGTTGTAATTACTAACCATTTTTATCAATCAAATTAAATAAAATTAATATTTTATAGTTTTTAATAACTTTAACATTTTGATTGGTGGTCATAACCTTGCTCAGGATGGTTGTCTCTATGTAAAGAAAGTCCATCCTTGCTTAAAACTGCCCCATACCTGAGCAACCATTTCTCCAAACACTCCCTCATCAGTATTGAGCTTTAACCGCCCATTTTGTGAAACCACCCACCTTCCTTTTTTTTAAGTTTTTAATTTTTTTTAATATATAGAGATTAAAAATTAAATCTTAAACCTATAATTAAAAGAATAAATAACTTCACTATCAAATAATATAATTGATAATAATTTCTTTGCGAGTTATCTTCTATTAATTTGTTTGATTTGATATATTGAAAGATAAGAAACGTAGAATGGTCGACCCCAAAATCGGAGTGTATATATCACTGATTGTTGAGACAATCCATTCATCATTCATCTTTGCCATAAAGTTGAGATCTAAGACTAAACTTTCTCCTTAGACCTCACCCTACAAGCACAATTGATAAAGTTGTAAATCTCATATTGACGTGTATTCGTTTTATTATTAAAATGGTACGTAACAAGTATAAAAAAAATATCATGTATCATTTTGGAAATATATAAATAGGGATGGAGTTAGGGGGTGAGTTGACTTTTCAAAAAAATTAAATAGGTTCTATACTTTTAAAAAAAATCAAATAAGCCCTTCTTTAAAAAGATAAAATAATATGTTCAAACTTTTATTCTTTTATAAATCTTATGGTAAATCACTAATATCATTTGACAAGTAAAATAAGTTTATAATTGATAAAGTTGTAAATCTCATATTGACATGTGTTTGTTTTATTATTAAAATGGTACATAACGAGTATAAAAAAAATATCATGTATCATTTTGGAAATATATAAATAGGGATGGAGTTAGGGGGTCAGTTGACTTTAAAAAAAATTAAATAGGTCCTATACTTTTAAAAAAAATCAAATAAACCCTTCTTTAAAAAGATAAAATAATATGTTCGAACTTTTATTCTTTTATAAATCTTATGGTAAATCACTAATCATTTGACAAGTAAAATAAGTTTATGAAAATATTCGTTAAATGTCAATTTTAGTCTTTTAATTTTAGAGTTTTGCACATTTTTCATCTTTCAACTTTTTTGTACACTTTTTTGATCCCTCAATTGTGAAAAGTATATTTTTTTAATCATTCTATTAGTTAGTCTGTTAAGTCTATTCATATATCTACATTTTTAGTCTCTTAACTTTAGAATTTTACACAATTTGTGTCCCTTAATTTAAAATTTCAAAGACTAAAAATGTACACATATAAACAAACTTAACGAGCTAACTGATGGAAAAACTCAAAAAAGTGTATTTTTTTCATAATTGATGAACAAAAAATAATTGATGAACAAAAAAAGTGCATAAAAAAGTTGAGGAAAAAAAACTATACAAAAGCCCAAATTTAAGGGACCAAAATTAACATTTAATCAAAATATTTTTATTTATTTGACATGCTTGTC